CAAAACCGTGGATGTGCGGCAATTCTCCGTTTGCACCACCAACAATTCTCTGGTGCTGCTTCTTCAGGGCCAATTCGTGCGCTTCTCTTTCTCAAAGCCACCTTTTTACGAACTCTTCGCAGAACTGTGGCCGTGAATCTCCGAAGCTTCTCACGATTTTTCTCTCAATTGTGTGGCCGTGTGTTCAATTGTGTGGCCTCGCGCTCTCGGGAGTTGCGTTCTGGAAAATTATGAGAGTCCCCCGATTATGACGCATAACAACATATTTATATCGTAACCCTAGGTTAATTAACCGGGCTTCCTAGTCCTAATGGGCTTAGACTTAGGCTTTATCATTTAATTTAATTTTAATTCCAAATGGGCTAAATTAATTCGGGCTGATTTAAGCTCAAATTAAAACAACCAAAGCCTTTTAGACTTGTGAATTTTGGCCCCCAATCCCTTGAGTGAGCCGAGCGCTCAAGCTTGGTTTACGCGATGAATTTTTAGCTTTTTCGCCACCGCCGGTCCGATGCGGAATGCAACTAACCTATATGAACTTAAACTATATGCTATGCAATTTTAATATTTTTGTTTAGGGGTTAAAATTTAATCCCTAATTTTCTATGCAAATTATTATTAAATGGTTAGTCAAAATTTAGGTGTCAACAGTGACCAAATCAAATGTCTCAGTCGTTGTCTTCCACGGAACTGCTGGTGGAGTTATAAATTGGGGAAAAGAGTCGATCAATTGCTCAACGAAGTGAGACAGCTCCAACATGAGAAAGAAAAATTTAGCGATTTCACGTCATCGCTGCCTCCTCCTCAAGTGCTGAAGATGCCTATGGACAAGACAGTGGGGCTTGATATTTCCCTTAATAAAGTGTGGAAATGGCTAGTGAACGAAAAACAAGTGGGAGTGATTGGGTTATACGGAACGGGCGGTGTGGAAAGACCACCCTCATGAAAAGGATCAATGAGGAGCTTTCACATGCAAATCATGGATTCGAGGTTGTTATTTGGGTGGTGGTGTCCAAGCCGGTGAATCAAGATAAAATTCAAGACACCATAAGGAGAAGGCTGGGCATTGAAGGTGAGCATTGGGAAAGATGGTCCTCGGAAGAGAGGGTCTATCATCTGGGCCAAGCTTTGACCCGGAAGAAGTTTGTATTGTTGCTTGATGATCTATGGGAGAGGCTGGACCTTTCCAAAATCGGAGTTCCTGGTCTCAAGAACGGATCCAAAGTAGTGCTCACAACTCGGTTGAAGCATGTCTGCGACCACATGGGGGCGGACAAAACCTTGGAAGTACAGTGCTTGATGCCCAAAGAAGCTCTGGAATTATTCGAGAAGAACATCGGCAAATCGCTCGTAGATTGTCATCAAGAAATTCGAGACCTCGCAAAGGACATTGCCGAAGAGTGCAAAGGGTTGCCACTAGCCCTTATTACTGTCGGGCGAGCCATGGCCAGAAAAGATAGTCCTGGTGAGTGGAGGCATGCACTAACAACGCTGAGGAACAGACCGCACAAGCTGCAAGGTATGGTGACGGAAGTGTACCACACACTAGAGTTCAGTTATAAAAGCTTAGATGACTCTACTCGGCAGGATTGCTTCCTTTACTGTTGTCTCTTCCCTGAGGATTACCCTATAAATGCGGACCAGCTTATTGAACTCTGGATTGGAGAGGGCTTGCTAAGAGACACCAATGATGTATACAGTATGCGGGACGAAGGAGAGTCCGTCTTGGGGGATTTAAATAGGGCTTGTCTTTTGGAAAGTGGGCATGATGACGGAAATGAGTATGTAAAGATGCACGACGTCATCCGCGACATGGCGACATGGATCGCTCGTGACCATGGGCAAACGGAGAACAAGTTGCTAGTGATAGAGAAAGACGAAGGCATGTCCGTGGAGATGATCTCCAAATGGCCGGAAGCGGAGAAAGTATCTCTATGGGGAGATTGGATTCGAAATATCGACCAAATACCATCCGGGTGTTCCCAGCTTAAAACTTTGTTTGTAAGGGAAACAAGAGTGACTGTCTTGCCAAGTGGATTTTTCGACTCGATGACAACTTGTCTGGCGGTCCTGAACTTGTCCGACAACAAACATATCAAGTCATTCCCCGAAGGGATTTGCAATCTGATTAATCTAAAGTACTTGAACTTGTCGGCCACCGGTATTAGTGAATTACCCAAAGAAATCAAGAACTTGACTCGTTTACGGTGGTTGCTACTGAACAATATGCCGAAGGGCATTTTAATTCCAACAGTGGCAATCACAAGCTTACCGTTGAATGTGTTCAGCCAGTGGGGTTATTGTGGAAGTTTCTTGCCATCGGGTCAAGTGAAGGAAGAAGAGATGGTAGAGGAATTAGGGTGCATGCAACATCTCACCAGCTTATCTATCAACGTGTGCGAGTCTTTCTCTGCTCAGAAAATATTCCAATCCCCAAATTTACGGAAACGCATAAGGAGAGCGTGCATCTATAATAGGAATGGTAACTTAACCAGCATCGTAATAAGTTACTCACGAGCAGGCAGTTTCTCGCATTTAGAGGTGCTTCATCTATATGAGTGTACCAAGCTGAGTGAGATGAAGATAACTCAAGGAATAGGACGAGCGCCAAACTGCTCTTGCTTCCCCAATCTCGTTAAAGTTTGGGTCGTTGGCTACGGGTTTTCAGACTTGTCCTGGCTCGTGCACACTCCGATGCTCCGAAAACTGGAGGTCGATCGCTGCAAATCGATGGAGAAAATCATTGGGGATGGATTTGCAGGGGAGGAATTAGCTTCTTTGCGACTATTCTCACATCTCGAATCCCTACGACTCATCGAACTTCCAAAACTAATGAGGATTTGCGACCAGGCTCTATCCTTTCCCCAGGGGGTGTCCTTCCGCATAGACAGGTGCCGTGGTCTCAAAAAGTTGCCGTTGGACTCGAGCAGCGCGAGGGGAAGCTTCGAGGTCGTAGCAGGAAAAGACTGGTGGGCTGAGTTTGAGTGGGACCCCCCGCCCGGGTCACTTTGCAGTTGGGTCACTTTGCAGTTGGATGTTGAGAGCCTCGTACAAGAAATGACATTTGGAGAGGCAGCACGTAAAATGCAAGATGATGAGTTCCAGGGATGGGCCAAGATTGGATTCCTACCTCGTGGGGGGCCGAGTGAGTGAGGCAAGGCTGATAAGTTTAATATTGTTGTTTTTTTTTTGTAATAAAAAAAATGGCGGCTTCGTTTGTCTTTCCATAGTTATGTAATTTTCTAGTGTTGGGATTCCTGTAATGTGGGCGTGGCGGGGTGGCGGTTGTTAAAATGAAGATGAAGGGAAACAAAACGACCGCAGAGCAAATAAGCATCTCTCTCTCTCTCTCTCTCTCTCTCTCTCTCTCTCTCTCTCTCTCTCTCTCTCTCTCTCTCTCTCTCTCTCTCTAACCTCACCTCTCGTTTGGATCTTCCAACTGCTGCAACTGCATCTGCAAGGGCCCAATTCAATAAATAAACCCGTCCCTCCCACAATTTGGATTTAAGATCACCGTCTCTCGCCCTTTTTTTATTATAATTAATTAAATTTTGACAAATTTCTCATCCCTTATTTATTATTTATTATTTTTAATAATAATAATAATAATAATTGCGTCCGTGATGATTTGGGCTTCCCTTTCTCTCTTGGCAAAGCTTTGGCGTCTCCTCCTCCGATGCGAATGAGCCCCCTCCCTCCTAAAGGAGATGTGCGGCGGCACCGATACCACGACATGGTCGATGATGCCTCGCGGCGCTTCTATAGCCGCCATACCCACGTCGCACTCCACCACCACCAGAGTGGCCCCGTCTCTCTCTCTCTCTCTCTCTCTCTCTCTCTCTCTCTCTCTCTCTCTCTCTCTCTCTCTCTATCAAGGCCAGGTTGTGGTCGTTGAGTTTAGGAAGGAGTTTCGGAGGGTGGTGCACAGATTCGAGTAGTAGCGTCGATTCTCGTCCTTGATAAAAGCTTAGTCCTCGAGATTTCCTTCGAAGGTCCAAGCCTTGACTCAGCTTTTTTGGCGGATGGGGATCCTTCCTTCGGTGGTAGAAGAGGCTGGGCAGTACTGGCCAGCAGTGGCCTGATCCATTCAGTAATGGGAAATTATGATTCAGAGGGACGAGATGAAGACTACCGGGACAGAGGCTTCTTATATTCTGCTATTTCGTGTTTTTTATCTGACAGTCCTATCAGGTCTACTAATATCAATTTGTCTTCCTAGCTCTAGAACCTTTGGCTGAACGACACAACCCAAGTCCAAAAATTGCTCTAGCTTTATTTCATTGCTTTTCTTTTAGGATCTGGTCGTAAGATTCGACCGTTCCGTAATCCGTTGCTGTTCTAATTGGAAGAAGTTGCAGAATTCCAGTATGCACCATCTTGGGTGATCACCAATTCTTACTGCCTGAACGACAAAAAATTGTTATTGCTAGAGATTTGGAGTATCGAGTTACTACTGTCCAAGAGCTGCGAGGGATGTTTGCACTTGGTATTTGTGCACATCGAGTCTTGTCCCCTCTTAGATACTGAGTTTTATCTTACTTTTGCCGAAAATGGCTTTGCGACTTTTGCACCTCTTTTGGGTGGGAAGGCTTTCCCATATTTCGAATTAGCAAAATAAGACAATTACCTCCTGCACTCTGTGCCCCATGAATAAGCTCATAAGGTGGGCTATGCTGTCCATGCATGTGTCCCGTTTCTCCTTTCGCTTGCAGACTTGATTTTTGCACTTGTGAAGATGCCTTTTCGGTTATGTAGTAGTTTGTAGCTTATCTAGTAAACTTTGCAATCTTCAGTGCAGATTGAGTTGGATTTTGATGTTACGTTTTGAATCTTATGATTGCGGACATGGTGGCAGGCTTTGAAGCAAGAAGTAATTGTTCACCTTGTCGATCGGTGTCGTTCTTTTCATGAGCGTGTCGTGCTTCTTCCGAATTACACAGCGTTAAGAACTTCAATAAAGAAAAAAAAATTAATCATCCAACCTTAGCAACGTGTGGGATTGGAATTGAATGTTAGTTTGCAGCGTGCTCGTTGTCAACATGATAACATTGTCGCCAAAGGTACTCCACTGACCAAAGCAGAAGTGATAGAAACCCCCCGGCTTTGGCACCAGCGAGTGTGAATCATGAGGATGGTGAATCTGAAGATGATTTTGCCCAGCTAGCTCACAGGTGAATGTTCTGCATTCTTTTTTGGATATGGTGTTCAGGTAAAATTTTCTTTTCACTTTGAGTTGCTTTCGAGCTTCCATCATGTGACAGTTTCATCTGATATGACTGGTTCTACAGAACAGATATGCCACACTTTCTTTGAGTTGCTTTTGGTAACTTAGATAAAGACCATAAAGGCTCTGGTATATGCCTTTTAGAAACATGGTCAGGCACAAATTTCTACGATTGTGGGAAGTGATGATGACTTACTAACATCACATTGATATGGAGATTCCTATTTTCTTCTGCACTTACGATGTTGCTTTCCTAGACACTGACCTGGTTTTGTTTTGCCAGCACCCTTGTGTTGAAATGTGCTATATTCTTCCGTTTGAAAACATTGGCAATAGAGCATGCACACACTCGTACTCATAGAAGAAAGTCTCTTTGTGACAGAGAAAAGTAATTTTCTTGAATGTCAGTTTTGGGATCTCTGATGTTGACTTCTGTGATCTTATGGAGGATTCTATGCTGAACGACACCCTATACTCTGTTTGAATAAGGGAAACATCAGACCTGCAGCAGTTGAAGTTTATTCCTTGATGCAAATTTCCACGTCTCATCATGTAGTATTCACATTGTTGCAGGTGGTCAACAGATAATGGAGACAATGGGTAAGCAGCGAATGCTCAGACTGAACTATCGCGAATCAGCCCACTTCTCCCATCTCCACCCTCATCAAAGAGACCGGTTGCTGGAGATTCAAGCTCGATTGATTATCTCAGTGGCGATGTATAAAAATACAAAGAATTTCCCGCGACAATGGGATCGACACTGTCCTCAGTTCCTGATTCTAACAGGACCTGTTCCATGCCATCTACTCCATCTTTATCCCCATTTTTTTCTTCTATTTTGGGCTTAGCCTACAAAATATCTGCTTGCTTTCTCTAGGAGAAAGGCCGTTGTCCTTTCACTGTCTATACGACTCCAGTGAAGGTTCTCAGCTGACAAATACTATCCAGCTGATAATATATTTCATACCTAGCTGTTTTTTGCTCCCTAAACAGGTGAAGAGATTATTCTGTTTAGCATGCTTAGCGTTCAGTCTGAGAAGAAGTTTAATTAAGTGCTGGATTGCTTCCATTCCCTGTTCGTTGAAATTCAAGGAAGAAACTATAATCTAGCGACTGTCATTATTCTTGTCCTGCCATTTGCAGCCTGGCCGCAATTTTAATCGGCTCCCACGATGGCTTGATACATGACATATAACTGATGTCATCCTTCTTAGTCTATTAGTTTTATTTTCATTCACCAATCACAATGGAAGCCTGGACTGTCAAGCATTTGAGTTTTGCAGGGAAATAGCAAAAGGTGAAACCGGTGGTTTATGGTATGGTGAAGTATTGGAGTAAGATGTTTCTTTTGCCTACGAAAGTGATCGAGGCTGTTGTGATGAGATGCTCTGCATCTTTGCGAAAAGTCATATCAACTAATGCCAGGGGAGCTAGAGTGGCTTGGTCTGAAGTGTCTTCCCAAGTTTGAGGGAGGGCTTGGCCTTAAAAACTTACTTCTATGAGTGATGGTTCTATGTGTCACGGTCCATAGGTTTTCAAGGTACAAAGGACTTCCGACCAAAAAAAGAAAAGGTACAAAGGGCCGTGATATCGTAAAGACCGGGCGAGCCTTTTAGAGTTTCTCGAATTCTCTAGAATATTACTGGGGATGAGCAATATGGGAAATATACACCATTATGGAGAATTCTTGTAATTAATGCGGGTAGTTGATAGATGGGGAAATTGAACCTCCATGTTTAGATTGTAGGGAGATCTACGGTTATGAATAAGAGAGTATTTGTATATATAGGAATCCCTCCTCTCATTGGTATCATCTCACAAGTAATAGAAAATCCGGATCTTCTCATCTCGCTCTAAAGATCCTTGTGAGGCCTACCTTTACCCGTGAGATTTGGAACACTGCTTGTATTCTCAGGAAGTTGCAGTCCAAATCTGGTTCCTTTTGCATTGCTTGGGTGCATTGTCATCGTTTGAAGGGATCTAGCATCTGAACTGTTGTTTTTAAGGCCGATAGTACTTACTTATTCATTCTACCTAAGGTATGCAATGTGTTATGCACCACCAACCAATTTAAGGGAGCTAGAGCTGGAGCTGACATGACATTTGTATCGGGTTTCAGGAACTATCCTTCTGGAGTTTTACATTTCCGTCTGATTCTAGGCAATACGGAATTCAAACTTCAGTATGCTGATTTCGAATATCTTTAGCACCTTTATTCTCCATGGTGAACTGGCCAGGCTCTCCTATTTGCTTATGTCCGTGCATCAATGGATTAACTTTCATAAACAAAAGACATATCTCCAATCTTTACTTATCTGTCCACTCTCTGCAATTAAGCTGCTTGAAGTTGCATTTGTTGATTAACAGGCCAGAGTAATAGGATTGTAGCAAAAGGTAGTTATTCAGCAAGAAATAGACCAACTCAAAAAGAACGTAAACTACTTCGGACATTCTTATTTCTCATTTTCTCAGTCATACAATGTGTTCCCGGGCAAGCATTCGCTTATGGCTACCATTACCCAGTGAGTTTGTCATTCTAGCATATTGGTATTGCATTGACGATCAGGTCATAACAATAAAGTCGAATCCCCCGTGCCACTTCTTTCTTTGGCTATTATGGCTCTGTGCCAAATTGCCAAGTGAAGCAATAAATACATCTACAGTGGCTCGACGAGAACTGGATACTTGTTCTTGGGCATCCTTACCAGAGTAGGCTGGACTGAGTCATCTCTCTCCAGAGGAGTCCACCTATCAAGAAGATTAAGATTGTCAGAACAAGTTCTACACTCACAATAAACGCTTGAGAAATTAATCAAGCATAGTCTCTGACAGGAACATATCAACCATATCGTTTCTTTTTCTTTTTCTTTTTTTGCTTGATTTATTAAGAAGACTATAGCTTAAGAAAGGTTGTCCCCTTGGCTGGTTGACATGTTAGATGGCAATCAAAATGTTGTGGTAGGAAGATGAGACTTTGCTTGTCAAAATGAGCATTTTCTCTTCTTACTTGTATCTGCACGCCAAGTGATGAATGAAAATAGAGATCTCCAGCTTCGCCAGATTGATCCCCGGGCACATACGTGGACCACTACCGAATCCAAGGAAGCTGAAAGGCTTCAAAGGTTCCTGAGATCAATAAAAACACTTCAGCTGGAAATTAGAAATGAAAATGTGAGCTATATAACGAAGCGACAGAAAGGAGCTTACATCAAATCTGGAAGGGTTGAAAACTTCTGGTTGAGGGAAAACTTCCGGGTCATGGTGAATAGAAACAACATCCAGGTTCACCGACCAACCTTTCTTGATTTTATATCCTGTAAAAGACCAAGAGCTAGTATTAGTAAGCATCTTGATATTGCATTTTTCTGACTAGCATGTTAGGTCTTTTTATCGGGATGCATACCATCAATCTCAAAATCCTGAGCAGCTTTCCTCGAGAACCAAGGTAATATCGTGGCTCTCCTTAGAGTTTCACTTATTACCTGAAATACCAAAGATACAAAAATTTCTACGTCTTCCAGTTTTCAGTAGGGTAATTAACGTGATAGAGTTAATGTCTTGCTTACTTTAGCGGTATAAGGCATGTTATTAACTTCACTCCAAGATAGATTCGCTCCACCCTTGCCACTCGCTTGAATTTCCATATGTTCTTCCTGCATACGAAGCATACAACCCGTGCTTCAGTATTGTTAGGTAAGGATTTCAATTTAACAGAGTTCATCGCAAAACAGGAGTACCCTGAGCCGTTGCAGAACTTGAGGGTTCTCTCCGAGAAATTTCACGAGCCAAGTCAGAGCAGCAGTGGTGGTGTCATGACCAGCAATTAGAAGAGTTAGTACATTGTCCTTCATTTGCTTGTCAGTTAGCTTCTCTTTGTTGGCTTCTCCGTCTGCTGCTTTGCTGTGCTTGATTATCAGGGACTCCAGGAAATCATTTTGGAAGCCTTGTCCTTCTCTCCTCCTAGAAATAATGCTGTCCAACATGCTATCCATCCTATCCCGAGCCTGATTTTGTCGAAACATTATATTGAGAAAGTAATTAGACGAAGTCTTCTTTCTATCGCAAGTATATTCAAAGTATATGAAAAAAAAAATTACCTGAATTCCACGGTGAAATGCAGTTCCTGGCACTTTAAATGGCAAGGAAGCGAATGAGGAGGAAATTATTTTGAAATTGGATCGGAATTTCTCCTGCTCTTCGCCTTTCGGTTCTAAGCTCATGATCATGTGGCCAATAACCTTGAGGGTGAACTGCACAAAGAATATATCTTACTATTATGTTCAAGAGTAGAACTATTAAAGCAGAATTTCTGAAGATCTTTTTGTGGATACTTAACTGTAGAAGCCTCCTCAAGAACTAAAACTTTTCGTCCCTCCCATTGATCGAATGTTTCTATCGCGAGGGCATTGATAAACTGGAAGTACTTCTTCAGGCCATCGATGGATAGTGGTTCCGCAATGAGCCGTCGAAGCCGCTTGTGTTCTTCCCCAGTTGTCTGGAGAAGACTCGTGGGGCCAAGAACCTGCTGCCCGGTATAGAAGAGGTTCAAACTCACCATCCCATCTTTTCCAGTCAATAGAATCTTGCTCGCTTCTCTCCCGGTCATGAAGACAGTGAACCTTCCCAAGACAAAGGACTTGAATACCTTCCCATACCTGTTGACAAATGCACATATCATGTAAGTTATGTATTCTGATACTGAAATTTTGATAATCGGTCTCACTCTTGGTCTTTGATTGATTACCTTTCTTGTCTCTTCTTCATGAAATTGTAAATACCAGATGGACTCGAAAAATCGGATATGAAGGAGAAGCTTTCGCCAACAACAGGCCAACCCAAGGTTCCCGGGATGTCCTCCATTGCTTTTGGTGATGTCCATAAATGAAGGAAACCTACTGAGACTACAAACACGACCAGAAGCACCAACATTGCCAGGATGCTGAACTCCATGGCTAGAAAGTTTGCGAGCTTCTGAAACACAAAAGCACCTGCAAATGTCAGAGAGGACCAAGAGGCGGCTTTATAATGATCAAGATAAGTGCTTGCTTTGGTATATTCTCCCTTGTCCTTGTTGTTATAGCGATTTTTGGCAGCATCATCTTGCAAGAGACAATTGGCCCATTGGGTACATCCTGGAAACGAGGCTAATGCTCCGCCAAAGGAGGAATTCCGCCTAGTGATGAACGACGACGTGAAGTGATTCGTGGACGGTTGCCCCGAGCAATATTGTCAAGGTCTATTCTGCCAGTTTTCATCCGGCATTGTTTGTTCGTTTCCTCTGGTCATTATACATTCTTGTCTCGGTGTTTACATCGACAAACGACATTGTCTCTTTCTCGGCACTCGATCTCGCTGCCATATACTGCCATATGAGGCAAGCACTAGGCAAATAAAAGAATGGCATCAAGTGTTTGACATGCAATGGCGTCTTAATCCTTGAGTCATTGGTTGTATCATGTCATTTGTATGCCGTCCTTCGACTCGCAGAATATGCATTTGATATACAGATTGGAAAGTCTCTTCCAACACCAACCCTACTCTCTCTCCTCCATTGGGCGCTCACATATAACTGGTGGAGTCAACATCCAGTGTAGCCTCACAGGAGAGCTGTACGTTTGGATCTTTTTAGCACATAACCTACCAACAGACATCGGGAATCGGCGCGAGAGCCGTATAGTTCGCTCGCTTGATATTATTTGTTTTCCTTGCTCTCGCTTGCAAAAGGGAAGCCTAACTTGTGAGGAAATGAAGGGAAAGGAAACAATGAAGAAATGAATCCCTTGAGAATGGTTCCCTAAGCAGAGAAAGTTAATTTCCATAGTGCACCCATTAATACGTGAGGTTGTCTAACTCGTTCAATGATCAAAAGTGTGCATGACATCAGTTAAAGCATATGCAAATTGATGATTCCAATTGATGGAGACTGGCATAATATTCATATGGCAAGGGCATCACGTGATGTCATCGTTTACTTTAGCATAGATTGATAAACTGGGAAGCTAGTCTTGCAAATTTGTCTTTATGGAGAGGATATAGGCACAAGTTGAAAGGAATGGCTGATGAGATTATTTATTCTTGCTGATTATCAATTAGTTTTTTGAATAATGAAGAGGTTTAAGATTTTTCCCTTCGTGAAATTCTTGTCAGCTTCTAGGGCTAGATGTCCATGTATGAAGAGCCTGGGGAGTTGAACTTGTCTAATATGGCCATCGTTGGGTGGGTCCATCACTCGGGATTGCATAACGCAGCCGCATTATTCCACTCAGCCAAACTCGCCATTGCAGGTCCTATGGTTACCAAAGTCACGGACCGAGCCGAAGCTTTCCTTTTGAGCCAACTTTGAGGGCGCTGAGGATCAAAAATGCCAATCAGAAAATATTCTGAAGAATAAGCGGAGAAAAATATTCTGAAGAATAACCGGAGAATTGTCAAACAAGCATCAAGAAAGGAGACGGAGTTGGAGGCGAAGTATGTCCACTCACAATCTGATGAGGATTAGTGAATTGACAACGAGCCATCTCGGCGGAGAGCTCCTAGCTAAGGTTTACAGATGGGACGCAGCCTAAAGTCGAGAATTGAGCACATCGCATTAAATAAGAAACGATGAGGACAACCATTCCGAAGATTATTGAGAACGTCTCAATTTCTTTACAAGCTATGATGGGCATGGCCGAGAAAAGAAGACCAGAAATGTACAAGCTATGAGTCCAAGTTAGATATAAACAGCAAAACAGAAGCTTGGCAGGAAACAGGTCAAACAAATCAATCAGAACAGAAGAGGGCATCGGGCGATGGGGAAAGGCTGCTTACGAAAGAATAAGGTATCTGCCAACCATATATAGAAACGGGAAAAGCAACAAATTACAACAGGGTCTCAGCCCCCCAAAGAAAAAATTGGGGTAGCTGTTATGAACTTATCTACGCCTCTGTCGGGAGTAACTCGGTGATCCAACCACAGCCGTGCCTCTGTAGTTTCTGCTAGGAGAATTCACGGACCCCCTAAAGGGAGTGTATGCAGCTCTGGCTGGTTCTGGCACCGAATCCAATGCAATCGACTCCACAAAGCATGCCGTGTTGATACGAGTCCTCTCGAGCTCTGCCTGTAGAAAATCGGAGCTATATTGCTGTGCAAGAGCCTGTAGAATTCAAAAGGCACGGAGAGGAAGCTTTTATTCACCAAACTTTTTTTTAAAACCCAGATAGTCAATAGATGAAGAGAACGAGAAGGAAAGTGAAACAGAAGTAGAACTGCACCACCTATCATTGATTCTGTAACCAAACCGTGAAATATTAAGACAGATGATGACTCTCAACCTCTATAACGAATTTCAGCCCACTACTTTGGTTTCACATCCACTTCACAGGACCTTCATGCATAGACAGGATTTAAAGGTAAAGTCACAATATCAGATATTATTTAGAGCTTCCGTGGTCTACTAGTGTAACCCAAAAATTTACTTTCAGATATATTTTCAAATTTCCCCCATGAAAAAGGCTCACATAAATAGCTCCATGGAACTTTGGCTAAAAAAGTAGCGATTAGCTGCATGAAACATGATAAGTACCCAAAGAAAAACGCAACCTTGTTCTCCTAGGAGATAAAACATAAACAGGCCAATATTATCCCTTACAATTAAATCATCTGGTGAGACACCCATCCCCTGCTGCCTTTCATCTGCAAGTGCATCTTCACTTCCACGAGTTGGGCGCCGATGGTGGCCTGGATTCTCAGCAGCCTCCGACATACTCTCAGTGGCTTTCTCCAAAAGCACCCCTTGTAAAGATTTCAAGGACTCCCTTGCATCAGCCGTAAAATATGGATTCAACACGAACTCAAAATATTCAAGCTGCAGTAGACACGTAAGATGGGTTGGTTCAGCAAATCTGAGTGTTTTTCCCATGTATAAGAAGTATACAAAGAAAAATGCCACAGCATGTAGAGAAACGAAGAAACAAAGAAATAATGAGGTGGAGATGATGATGATGATGATGATGGCGGCGGCGACAGTGGTGGTGGCAGGCGGTGGCATGAAGTAGTGGTAAGGTGGATGTGTAAAAAATGTAAGATATTGGAAAATAAGAGAGCGAATCAGAGAGAGAACGAGGACAAGTATAACGAGAGTTAAAAATCATGAAACAAATTTACATATTGGTAATGAATTGCTATCGTTGCAGGTTGCTGCACAAACATACTGCAACCTGGTTTGCAGCCTAACATAGTCCACTAGACTAAACAAATGGTAGCAAAAGCGGATACAACTAGCGGCCATATGCAAAAGCAAGTAATAGGAAGACAAAAAGCTTTTGGAATTAAACTTATGATCATAAGCTCCATTATCTTGTTATCCTCTTACTCCAATTCTCCTCCTGCCTAACTATTTGGATGCAACCGTATTAGCACATCCATGGAGTGACTGTTAGCAACGGTCTGTTATGGAGAGCAGCGTTTCATCTGCCTTAAACTTTTTTCAATGAAACGAACTATAAAAACTGATGCATTATCACAAAACTTCATGTCTTGACTTTCCTATTCCAATTAGAGGAAACAGCCAGCAAGCTTAAAGTAAAAAAATTACATTAGTCAGTTCCTAAATAAATCATACCTCAAGCATGAGCTGGCAGAAACCATTTGCATCAAGTGATCTAAGTTCTTTGCCTTTGTTCTCATTAAAGAGACTAAGAAACGTATCGACCAATCCTTCCACAAGAACACCTAGGATCTTTTCCAACAGAGGCTTAGCCCCTGCATAAACCTGTTGTGACATACAATAAGAAAAGCTTTATTGAAGCAACTATAGATAACCAAGCACCAGATACGATTAGATCAGATTGCCACTTCATGTGAAATCCTAAGCCATAAAGATCACATCTTATGAACCCAAAAGTAGAAGAGATCAGAGAACGTAAACACTAGCCATGAAAAGTAGTAGGTGTGAACAAGGAGGGATAAAATTATACAATCATAGATAGACAGAACATACCTCAGCATGAACAGCTACAAGAGTGTGCATTAACTCCACAGCTGCATCCCGCACACCCTACAAAGTATCACCCCAATATTAATATGGATCTTCACAAGAAGTTCAACATATAAAAATATAAGAAAAGTGGCCGTCCTGTATTAGTTCAAAGCCTCACTTTGACTGCAGGTGCTGATCCCCAATGAACACCAGAATCCAATAAGTAGCTCACAGCAGCTTCTCTAATTAAATTTGCCTGCACAGACACCAAAATTATCAGTAACATATCAATAAATGCTTCTATGTTAGGCAGCATGCCAAGCAAAAGTATCACATGATTCATGACGTTATGTTTGATTTGCACATCACTCTACTTCCATAAAGTCATAATATCACATTTAGGAAGTCCAATTGGTGATGAACATTGACATAAAAAAAAGTTCCTATGACCAAGTAAGATGAAGAAACATGCACATAAAACCCATTCGCGAGAATGGATCCAAAGATTCACCATGGATGAATGTGAAGCCATACCTTCGCAAATGTATACTGCTCAAGAATTTTCTCTTCAAGCCCTGAGAAGGAAATTACCAAATCTTGTATATCACTGTCCCCTTCGTCCTTTACCCTGAATGAAGACTAGATAAGCATTTTCCACAGCATAAATATTTCATAATATATATAAAAAGGCAAGAGAAGTTCTATAATAAAGAAAGGAATGCAAGAAAAAGGACATTGCTTTGTTCATTGACTGATTTATCACCAGGATATTGTTCTCCATCTAAGGAAATGGAAAGAAGCCTGACTCGAAAAGTTGGAGGATATGAAGTGCCAATAAAAAAATACCACATAAACCATCATTTTTCAAAACAAGTAAATTATAATCCAATGAGTCAGATTATGTGATGTGTACCTTTCGAAATCAATCAATAGGCCAAGTTTAAACATAATAGTACTCGAGGTGTGGCCTGATTTGGGTAATTAAGCACA